GAGAGAAGGGCTTGGGGAGGCCACAGAGGCGCAAGGCTGGACTCTCACAGAAGGAAAGAGACAGCCGGCAAAGTCACACTACCGTGAGTCCCTTCTGCAGCCCTGAACGTGGGGTTCTGTAGGGCTTTTCCATTTCGTGGGTGAGGGTGCTGAGGTTGAGCTCAAGAATGCTCTAAAGGCAAGTAGTTCTCCCTAAGCGTTCCTCTTCCAAAGCCCAGGTCCATGGCCGCAGTTCAGCCTTGCTCGCAGAACTACAGTGAGGCCTGAGAATAACTCATACCGGCTCCCTCCCCTGGTAAATAAATCAGCTTTTAAATGCAGGTCATCGCCCTGGTTCCAAAGCCAAAGCCTGCAGAGAGGCAGAAAGGAGGCGAGCAGCTGGGTGTGGTGCCCTCTACCACAGGATGAGGGAGAGCAGGCTTAAATGTGTGTAATTCTGTTCTAGGCAGTGGGAGCACAGGAAGCAGATGTGAAGGTGCCATCTGAGGGCTGAGGGGTTGCTGCTGTCTGCAGGACCTGAGTTCAGTCCCCAGAACTCATAAAAAACTAGGCATGGTAGCCTGCACTTGTAATCCCAGCACCAGAGAGACAGGAGCAGGCAATTCCCCAGGGCTCTCTGGGAAACCAGCCGAGCCTACCTGGCCAGTTTTGGGCTAGTAAGAGCCTATCTTTCAAACAAGATGGACAAGAAAGGTGGCTCAGCAGTTAAGAACACTTGCCGCTCTTGCAAAGGACCCAGGTCACTCCAAGTGCCTGTAACTCCAGTTCCAGGGGATCCAACACACTCTTCTGGCTTCCATGGGCACCAGGCATGCATGTGGTACACAGACAGACAGACAAAACACTCATACATAGAAATCAATCTGTTTTAAAAGGTGGACAGTGCCTGAACAATGACACTCAAAAGTTGTTCTCTGGCACACACACACACACACACACACACACACACACACACACACACACACACACCCCTCATCTGAGTGAGTGGGAGATTGCTTTAACATAGCAAGAGGCCAAGATTATAATTCCACTCATGCACCCAGAGGGTGTGACTTCCTAAGTGGCAGGGTCATTTATGAGGAAGTGTGTTTTTTCTGGTTGTTAATGTAATAGTGTATTTGAGGCAGAACACATACTGTATTATTCTGCCCTTCCTAGCTCCATGCCACTGAGGTTGTCAAGACCACTCAGCTCAATCATTTCCTTGCTCTGTTATTGCTCTAAAAGTAAACAGGCCTGAAATGGGGAGGGGGGCCCGCAGGAGAGGCAGGGAGGGGCGGGGCAGGGCGTAGCAGGGCGTAGGCATGCCAAAAGAGTCAGGCTCGGACTGAGGTACACCCAGAGTCCCAGCTGCCTCAGAGGCTGAGATAGGAGGATCACACATTGGAGATCAACCTGGGCAAGACCCTGTAGAAGGCACAGAGGTCCTTGCCCTCACCGATGAGCACTAGAGAAACCAAGTGTGTTACCACACAGGTTGCCCCTTAAAGGGAGAGATGGAGCATCAGTTTTCCACCCATAAGGCTGGGAGCTGAGGTGGTTAATAGCGTGGTGACCTCAGTGCTATCCTGTATGGCCAGTCTCCCCCAGACGGTCATCTTGAACCTGTTTATCTCAGCCAATCTGCAGCGCTCTCCTCTCTGGAACTTATGGTTTACCTTGAGCCTACTTCTTTACTTAATCTTTATGGAAGATTCACCTAGCTTTATGGAAGATGTCACTTGTATTTTGTAAGAGCCGTGATATAATCATGTCTTAGGCTTTAGTGTGCACATAGGATTGAGTTAATTATCACCAGGAAACTTTTGTCCAAATTGTGCTGTGTTTAAATATGCCTATAATAAACTACCTGGTTTTAGACCCTTGAAGTTTGAACCAACACTGACTATTGAGTCGTGTTGAACCAGACTTCCAGCCTCTCTCAGATTGACACTCTGCTAACCATGGTGTTTGGAGAGATACCTCCCCAACAAGACACCATCTCAGAAAATCAGCAACAAAATCCACGGAGGGTAAATCGCAATAGTAGAGAGTATGTTTAACGTGGAAAGAAGGAGAGACAGACAGAAAAAAACTTAAGGGGAAAATATCCTTAAATGAAGTCCAAGATGTCCTTCTCCATTCAGACTTGGCTTAAGGCTCAACTCAGCAAACTCCCCTGGAGGCCAGTGGTGAACCTTGTTGAGACTGTGAGAGGCTTATGACACGGAGCTGTCACCATCGAGATTCCTTCATCGGGATCTTGTCTCCCACCAGCTTTCCTACCTTCCCTAGCAACCTCCCAGTCTATCGCTGTGGGAATCCAGGAGGCCTTAGGCCTGGAGCTCTTGACCATTCAGCCGGTAACATGGTGTGAGTGGATAAGGAACACTGTGCAGCCTTCTGACTGGCTTGTGAGGCAGCTGGGCCTGCAGGGCACTGCTGTGGGATGTTCTGTACGGCAAATGTGTTGCTCTGATTGGTCAATAAATAAAATACTGATTGGCCAGTGGCTAGGCAGGAAGCATAGGCGGGACTAACAGAGAGGAGAAAAGAAAGAACAGGAAGGCAGAAGGAGTCACTGCCAGCTGCCGCCAGGACAAGCAGCATGTGAAGATGCTGGTAAGTCACCAGCCATGTGGCAAGGTATAGATTTATGGAAATGGACTAATTTAAGCTATAAGAACAGTTAGCAAGAAGCCTGCCACGGCCATACAGTTTGTAAGCAATAGAAGTCTCTGTGTTTACTTGGTTGGGTCTGAGCAGCTGTGGGACTGGCGGGTGACAAAGATTTGTCCTGACTGTGGGCAAGGCAGGAAAACTCTATCTACAAATGGTACCCATCGAGTTGGCAAGAGTTTCCACCTAAAACCTGAGAAAGGTCAGGACAGGGCACCATGTCCGGACCTTTCCTGTGAGGAAACCTTCAGGCCTGACACTACAGTTGCCTGGCTCTAAGACTGTCTTCTGACCTCTTGACATCTCTCTGGGGATGAGAAGGAGCCATTCTGTGGGAATGAAAAGCCAGTGGCCTTGGGCCTTTGGGGTCCCCATCTCCACGGCCTCCCATCAGCGGACTTTGTTTACTGAGGACCTGACAGGGCTATCACTCACAGTCTTCACTTGGGGTTTTGCATCCTTGGGTGTGGGGAGTACACCTCATTACAGTGAACTTGTTCTTGGGGTACACATTACAAGACGCGGTAAACATGCCTGAGGCCACTGAGTACCAAATTGTGCACACACTATTTTTTCCTTTATATGCATATCTGTGGCTTAATTTATGAAATGTACGCATCAAAAGATTAACAATAACTAGAATGAAATAGATGAACTAGAAAAGTATAATCATACACTAGTTAACCTAAAAACTATGAGTTGCTTACTTGTGGAGTTTCCCATCCCTAACCTACCCAGTGGAGGGCGGGGTAGGGGTGGGGGTTGCCCTCCTCAATCTCTACCTTATATTTTGAGACAGGGTCTCTCAGTGAACGTGGAACTAGCTGGCCACGGAGTTCCCAGAATCCACCGGTCCCTGTTCCACGCACAGGGCTGCTTATGTGGATTCTCCTGCTGGTGCAGCAAACATTTCACTCCCTGAGCCTCCTCTTTTAAAAGTGGTTTAAAACTGTGGCTTATTTATTGTGTGTGCGCACACATGCATTCGTGTGTGCATCCAGGCGTGTGGTACACTTCGGCCGCGTGTGGGAGTCAGAACCTCTTGTACCCCTCACCACCTTTCACTATGTTTGGAACAGGGTTTCTTCCTCTGCTGTCTGCCAGACCAGGTGGCCCTCGGGCTTCTGGGGATCCTCTCCTCTGCCTCCATCTCTCTGTGGGAGTGCAGTGATTACAGACACGCTACCCAGACGTTTGTGTCATTCCAGGGTCAAACTCAGGTCCTCACACCTGCACAGGAAGAGTTTTTATCTCAGAGAAGCACTACGTGCGCTAAGCCTTCTTCCTCGCACATTTTTCTTTTAGTTGTGACAATCTCACTACGCAGCCCAGGCTGGCCTCAAACTCGGGATCTTCCTGTCCCAGCCTCCTGAGTACCTGGGTTACAGGGACGCACCACCATGCCCCACTCCCATTCAGTAATGTTGGACTTGCTCATCAC